CAAAAGGTTGATGAATTTGTAATGTACAGTACTGTATATAGAATTACAAAATTATTATTACAATACTGTATTAAAAAAATCTGTTGCCATAAATTTAATAGTCGGCTTTCTCTCAAATTCAGTATCATACTTGATAATGCAGTATAAAAAAATCTGTAATTGTTATCAGTATTAAATATTGAAGTCAAAATCACAATCTATAGTCACTTTTTAATCATCAAATGTGAAGATGTTCAGTTTTAATTCCATTTTCTGTGTTATATTAGGCTATCTAGTATAATTTACTTTATGTTCGGCACAAGATGGCACCATTATTGTAGTTGTCTACTCTGTTTATCCAAATACTCATGAAAAAGTAAGGCTCTAAATATAAAAGTAAACGACACACTCTTCCATCGTTTTCGGAAATAATTTCTAACCGTAATAGGTCGAGAGAGATTCATATGATAACAGGACTCCACTTTCTAGTCAGATTATAGATGTAGGTTATTGTTACTTGTATGCAAATTGAACGCTATTTTATGCTTTTCTTCTTTTATTTTTTCGTGCATTATTTATTTATTTGTTCTTGTCTTAAATTTGTATCATCTGAGATGATTATGAAAGTGTATTTTGTTAACAAAAATAAAAGAACATAGCAATGGATTTTGAGAATATGAATGCTGTGCAAGGCAGAATTAGGGTGGACTAAGACATGTGCCCCCTGTCGTTTTTCGGAGAATGGTAAAATTACTTTAGATACCCAATCTTAACCTAATCCTACTAGTCATGCGATATGCATTAGTATATTTATTTTTATTTTAAAGTAACAAAACCAATTTGGTGCTACAGCCCCATAAGCACCCACAGGAGCATAGTATAATATATTTCGTTTAACGAATTTTGACTTTGTAATGTGCAATACTAGAAATGGGCTCTAGAAAATATATTAATTGTATTCTTTTTTATTTAGTGATGTAATTTACAATGTAAGATTTTAAATTTATATTATATGTAAACCAAACATTACATATAACACAACATACAGTAATTGGTTTACATATAATTGTAGTAAGTAGTTGGTTTACAGAAGTAAGTAAAAGTTAAACGTGTTTTATTATATAATTTAAAAGTAATAAGTAAGTGCAACCTAAAAATACACTCGTGTTCAAAATTAAAGCAACACACATAAATGTACGGTACTTGGCAAAAATGCAGAAACGAGTGCTCCTCCATCACAATAAATCATCCACATGCCTCTTAGAGGCATGTCTGATAAGTTACTGATGTATCAGGAACACTTCCTCACTGTTAGCAGTCCTAGTAGACGATTTTTTTTTTTTATTAGAAACGATTTTGTTGTATATAGCTCATTACGTTTTGTCGCACGGGTGCGCTATTATCGTGCAATTATGTGATAAGATGACACTTTGATGATCTACATAAGCATAAGTTTCAGCTACTCTCGTTTTATAGTGTTGATTTTACACAGGATTTGTGTTTGTTGTTCTAATTTTTGACGTCATTGCAGAATTCAGCTACAAGTTAATGCATCCAAAACCACTTTACTTAACGAACATTTACCGAACATTTACTGCGTTATCTGAGTTTTTGATTATTCAAAATACCTTTAGTCTTTTGTTTTCGAAGCTTCTGGAACTTTCAACGGAAGTGACGTTTTTCTCGTTTTATAATAATAATTTACTGGCAATATTATATATTTTTGGACTCCTCTAAAGAAGAGGAAGACGTTGAGCACGCTTTCAGAACAATAGATTTATTTCTCTTAAAGTAATTAATATTTAAATTTAACTTTCTCTATATTATACTTCCTGATTATATTGATGTCTCTAATGATTGGAATGGAATCACAATTAAAAATTTTTCATGATAATGCCAATGTCATTATTGAGGAATTTAAAAAATATTCTCTGGACAATCTAAATTCTAAGCTGGGAGTTGCGTGTCATTCCTCATACATATTGACACAATTCAATCGGGTAATCCAATTGGCGGAAACCTTCATAAAGAAAAATAGTTTAACAGAGTACTTTGATCAAAAATTTTCTGTACTTACTACTAGAGAAGATTTGAAAGAGTTGAGGGTTACTCAAGATGACAAAACAATGGAAATTTTAACGGGCATTCAAGAAACTGTAAATAATCTTAAAAAGAATTTTTCTAATGAAATCCTTGGTGGAGAAAAAGATAGTGCCCCCAGCTACAGAGACATTCTCAAAAAAGGTATTAAACCAATCTCAAATGTACATGAACCGCCTCTGCAGACCCATACAGTTTTAGTATACAGTGATCAGGAGGGTGCCACTTCCGAACAAACTAAAAGTTATTTAACCAATCATGTGAAACCACATATCCTTGGTGTAGGAGTTAACCGATTACGGAAACTGAAAAATGGGGGAATTGCTGTTGACTTAAATCATAAAGATGAAGTTGAATACTTTAAAGAGTCTGTTCAACAGGTTCCCGGATTAAACTCTCGTTTACCAAAAAAGCGACTTCCATTAATGAAAATTGCATCTGTTCCTAAAGCAGTTGTGAAAGAGGAATTAATACAGGATATCTATGAACAAAACGTGTGCTTCGTACATCTTTATACTGATAAAACTTTTGCGGAAAAAATTAATATTAGATTTTCTCTAAAACAAAAGAACAGAAACTACCTTTCTTGGGTCGTCGAGGTGACTCCTGAAATAAGGGATATACTCGTAAAAGTAGGAAAAGTTCACATTCACTGGTCAACTTGTCAGGTGTACGATTTTATTCCGACAATACAGTGCTATAAATGCTTATCCTTTGGCCATTTTGCTAAAAACTGTACTTCCACAGAATCAATATGCAGTCATTGTGGTGAGAACCATCTTTTTAAAAACTGTACAAATAGACATGAAACACCAAAATGTGTCAACTGTTTGAAAGAGAAAAGAACACAACATAACCATAATACCATGGATAAAATGTGTCCAACGTATCTAAGAGAAAAATCAAAATATCTAACTAGGACTGAATACATACATACATACATGAAAATCAATAGCTGTATGTTACTACAGACCAACAGGAAATACTTGGAGACCACTAGCTGAACTTGGTCATAGACCAACAGGAAATTCACTCCTTGAAATAATGCGTTTCTGAAACTGTGATAAACATCTATACCGTGATGTCTTGCAACCTCTAGACTATTGCATTTTACATGCTATTTGGATGTTCCTGAACATTTTGTATAAATTGGACATTTTACATGATATGGTGAGTTACTTACAATTATAACTGTATGCGCCAGTCTCCAATCAGCAAGACGCTACATTAAGTATTTATTTACATTCATTATTCAGGTTAATTATATTTTTCTATTAAAGGTAACTCTATGTCTTTGCAATCTTGCTGATTTTATGTACATAATTTTGTATATATTTAAGTTCATTATTCCTTAATTTATCTGTTTTTATCTTATTTTATATATTTATTGACTTATTTTCTTCTATTAAGTATTTGCTTTCATCATTTCTGTACACGTAACAAAATTTTATCTTGAGTACTGTAATATTTAATGTGTATAACCGGTAATGCTCAATGCGGGGCCGGTCTGTACTATATTTGTACAACAATAAATGAATGAATGAATACCTTTAGTCCATGCTAACACAGATAGTCAAGACTCTACTGTTTTAATAATAGTAATGGTTTCACTTTTAAAAATTAATTATGCTTTATTTTTTATGATTAAACTTCTTAAAAAATACATCCGATTCTGTTTCTTACACAGAATTTTTACACGATTTTGAGTTAACATAAAATACATAAAATATTGAATTACAATAGTGTTTCTAAAATTGCTACAATTAGAGATTCGTTATATTTCAAATAGTTTAATTATGCCGAGAAAATATTAAAATTTACACCCTGCTTCTTTCCGTTTCCTAGGTGTTAAGTGATTTAGAAGCATTTTACAATATACAGTACTACATTCCTACTTCATTCTACAGTACTGCACAATGCCGGAAAGCATTATCATCCCCGGGATTATGCCAAACAAAATATTTAATAAAATATCAACAATTAAAATTTTCATTACGATTAGAAAGGACATTAAATTTTAAAGGAAAAATTGCATTTTACAAGCTTTAAGCATAGTGAGCAGTGACCATAAAATGGCGTCCAACAAACTAAAAGTCTTTCTGCAGGCCGATTTTTTCATCCAGAACATTCTAAGTTAAATTAATTTCTTTCTAATTATTAAATTTAACTCGAGATGGCGACCTTAATCGCCATCTCGAGTTAAATTTAACCGCCTATCTCTAATCTTAATCCAAAATTGTTTAATTAATATATTATTATTTACTTAGCCTTATTGTAGCTCGATATGAATCAGGCTATATTGTTTGATTAGATGAAGGATTGATACTTCTATAACTAGGAATTTACGAGAAAGCACTTTTCTTTACAAACCATATGCGATTCAACCAAGTTTAAAAGTGGCCGCAACTATTGAATGTTATTCTTATCAGCTACAATGACCACCATCATGTTGAAATAAGTATTTTTTGTGAGTTGTTTCAAGAAAACAAATAACAGTGCTGTGGTCGCAATTTGGGAGTTTTACCGTCATGAGAATTTAAACAAAGATTAGTGACGCAACAAACCTTTAGAAGAATGATCACTCGATTTCAGAAAAGAAGACATCTGGGATTTAATCTGGCCAAGGGCATATTTCACGTATCATTTCACGAGTCGTTATCATAGCTGTTGTTGAACAGTCAATGAATAATGTTGCAGATTCTAGCAGTGCATATGCAGTGTACGGCAGTTGAGTGTATTTTATGGCACAATGTGGAAAATATTGAGAAAGTTGTATTGTTATGAGATCAGCCACAATCAGGAATTGCTTACCGCCAACAGGGAAACCCGATTGATCTTTGCGTTTACCTCCTTGCCTGAATGGAAATAGATGTACTATGATCATGAAAGCTCCTGTAAGGGTTAAAGAGTAAACTCGTAACTGTCGCATCTAGACCACAGAAAACTCTCATGTTTTCTAGCAGATTCCACTGCCCAATTTTCAACGTTTGTATAAAATAAGTTGAATTTTCATGTATTAAAAAGTTTTCAACATTTAAAATAAAACTTCAGTTTTCATATGCTGGTAACACAGAAGTGAAAACAAAATTCAGTGTTCTGTTAGCGGAAGGTTTAAAATTAGTTTCCAATATAATTTTTTGCAGGTCAAATCTCGAAAAAGAAGTGGAATATGAAAAACGTTTATAGATGATTTAAGCTTATTGCTTATAAGCTTGATTTAACCTTAAGTTTTTATTTGACCCTAGAATCTATCATTAAAATATTGGCAGGGAGTTTCGTTAATCTTGTATATATGAAGCATAATATATGGTTTATACCTTAATACCCCGCATTATATTATCTACACAATTATAATTACAATTATAACAGTCATAACAATGAATTAAAGTTCGTTAGGAAACAGTTTTTAAATTTTGTTTTCAAAAAAAGGAATTTAATTCTGAATATATTTTAATATAGAAATTAAAATTATATTCAATATTGCTTGGAGATGATTTAAATNTGTAATAAATGTATTTATTCGAATTAATGTTTTGTTTTTAAGTTATTATATTTACTTTTTAGCATCTGTATGGTGTTTTTTGGAGGGACAGTTTTTCTTACATACTGCTGAATTTTGTAGCTTTTCTTTGAATAAGTAGATAAATAAATAAATAAAATTTCTTGTTGTAATTACGGGTGTTGTTTTCAGTCGTCTAATGTTAAGAAAATTAACACATTCTAAAACATAGAATATTGAAAAAAAAAAAAATTGATTCCAATGTTTTTGGATTGTCATTAGTAATTTTAAACAACGAATTTTTGAAGACAAATTTTTCGTATTCTTCAGTATATTTTAATATGTAACTGTCGTCGGCCGTTTTTAATAAAATACGCTAATAGCGCATACTGTAATCAGAGTTTCGGTTATAGTTATCATTATCTTAAGATAAATAGGCATTTTTAAGTTGTCTTTTCGCAGTATCTGACTTAACATTTAGCTGATAACGTATCATCGTTATCAATTATCATTATCAATCTTAATCAGCGTTTTAAATATTAAATAAAGTAATTTTAATTATCGTTATTTGCTTTCAGTACAGTAGTATAAATTGTGGCATTTCTTTAATATAAAATAGCTAATGTAATACGGTAGTACGGTATACGTGAATACGGTAGTAAAAAACAACGTTGAATGAGTTATTATTATAAATATTATTAATTTTCAAGATTTTAATTTAATTTTTAATTATTTTAATATAACACTTTGATGTTAGAGTTAATAAGAGCAAAATTCTATTAACTGTAGACTTATTTACTTACCTACTTAAAGTTATAAATCTGTTATTATTATTGGTAAATAGTAAACGAACCTCAAATGATTACAATGAGCAAATTATATTGTAATTAAAGCGGGTGAAAACTTAGCGTTTACAAAATAATATTCTGCACTACTTTTTGATTTACATACAAATTTTAATTTATGAATTTAATACTTTTTTACAGAAAATAATTTTAAAAAATGAAAACTAAATGAATATATAGTGACTGCTGTAATAGCATAACTTATCTATTCAGTTCCAAGAGTATGATACTTAAATGAGTTCAAATAAATCTTCACTTACTTGTTAGTATACAACAATATTTGTATTCTTTATTATCCATTTCCTTGCACTTCTCCAAGAAATTTTAGGACCAGCATGTGCCTTTATAGAAATTTTAAATAATAGTCGAGATTTTGCGCGAGTGACATAAAAGCTTCAGACGAGCTGTATTCTGGCTCTGTGGTTACTTAAATACATTGAAACGAGAGCTGCTTTAGATGCTCATTTTGATTTCCGTTTAAAATTTTAGTTTTTTGTTTTTTACAGTTTTTATCCTTCTCTTCATTTTTCTGTGACAGGCGAGAAATCTATCATAGTTGTGAATCACAAGATGTTAAGCTGTTCTAACTTGCAAGCTGATTTAAATCTATGCAAATTTTATTTTCTGTACAAACTACAAACCACAGAAAATTAATTTTAAATTGTTATTACATATTTCGAAATCAGCCAATAAACTGGTTTTATGTCGCCATTTAGCAAATTTCTCATTTCAAAATTTTATGAGTTGAAAACCGGTAAACAACTAAAAAAATGCGAAAAATTTCTGAAATAACGAGTTTAGAAGATGAGAAAGAAAGTGTTAAATTCTTAAAATTTAAAATGATATTAATAGTTATTTAAATCATTATAAATCACATAGATAAGGATGCAATGTATTAAATCATAAAGTAACGAAATATAAAATTATAAATTATTTATTGTATCATACTGTATTGTTAATACAGTACAGTTAAAAAAGTATACCATGTCACCTGTCCGCTGAAAGTGTTGCAAATTACTGTATATCATTAAATATGCAATTGGTTTTGCAAATCTAACGTTGATTATTATGATAAGGAAAATGTTTTAGTTTCCTAACAGAAAAAGCAAGTTTTAGGAATAAAAATATTTATTTTACGTAAGGGCTATTATTAGCCTAATAAAGTACAAATTATTTTTAAATATAAATTAAACCAATTCCAAAATTCCACATTACAATGATTTTGACTTCAATCATTAGATGATTTTCGAGTAGGCTTATTTTCTCAATAAATCATTCTCTAGAGTGTAAAAATGATGAAAAGATTTCTAACCTTTAGATCATATTTGACAGTATTTTTATTGATAGTCTCGAAATTGCTTTGGAATATATTGAATCAATATATATATATTAGTTCACTATATATTTCAATATACATATATATCTCCTATATATATTTAAGATATATTGCTGTA